AGAAAACTTAAACATAACTAAAACCATGACAGCAATTAGGTGCCTTCAAGGTAAGTTTCATTATTAATGTGATTAAAAAAGCCATTTATGTTTGCACATTGAGTATATTCTGGTTTTTGTAACTATAACAATGTTAGTGTAAAGTCTGTCACTTGATGTCTAAATGTTTATCAAATATGTAAGAAAGTATTTGTTGCTCAGTGTTTAGGAACAGCAATGTTTCTAAATATAGCTTTTATTTCATTAGTTTTTAGAATGGCAATGCTGAGTGATCCTGTGACCTTGGAATAAATCCTCTGTAAATACAAAACTTTCCCCTTCTGTGACGGATGGGAGTAACAATTGAGATGAATGCTTTTTTTTAGAGCAATGACCTCAACATACAGCCAAAGTCACATAGAACAGTTATTATTGACATTGTGCCTGTTTTCAAAAGAGCAATCTGTAACAGATGACAATGTTTAGGGTTTTCCAAATCTGACGACTAATTCCACATTTACCTGAGTTTAAAAACAAGGCGTACTAGTTAGCTGTGTCCAAAATATTTATCACAGGCTGCAAAACTGTTAAGATTCCAAAATACCTTGACTGCTTTTCTTTTAATTGAAAATGCAAAAATTATGTTTCATTCATACCTGCTCAGAAATAAATTAAAAAATCTATATATATATATATAACTTAATTTTTTTTTTTTTTGTTAAGTCAGATTGAATCTGTGAATCACTGAAGATCTGAAACATCTCACTGGTTTGCTTAAATTATAAAAAAAAAAATCATAAAATTATTTAAAAAAAATAAATAAACCCACAACGTCCTATATAATAGTAATAATACTCCTTTTATCCTTTTACAGATTGTTTGGGGATATTTCAGATTGTTTGTTATTTTTTTCTTAAAAAATAACAACTAAACTATTCTACTGAGCCAAGTTTACAACATAGCTGAAACTATAAATGAAATTTCATTTATCGGCTATATCGTCTCTGCCTGTGTTTTTCTCCTATTGATGACGCTGGATGAAAAGGCTTAACTCCGGTGCTTTCCACTGACCCCTCCCCTTCCTCATTTTTGAGGAGGGAGGAGGAGTGGACTATCGCATCAGGTAGTCAGCACGCATCATTTTGTACTTCTGCAGCTTTAGAGCCCCGTGAGGAGTTAGTGAGGTAAAAAAAAAACAAATGACAGAGGCGAACCGCTGAACCTATGCGAGCCAGTATGTCGCATTTGTCATAAAACAGTAGCAACTAAGAGCAGCAATACAACCAACCTACCCATGCACCTAAAGCACAACCACCCAGCAAAGTTTCTCCAGCTGGGGACAAAATGTACAAGCGGTGGCCCGTCTGTGTCTTCAAGTTTGCGACAGTCCACCATCACTGAAGCAAATAATCGACAGGCAGCATACAAAAAGGACGGCGCAAAGTGGAGCGCACTCACAGACAGCGTAGTTCATTTAATTGCTAAAGAGATGCTTCCATTTACAGTAATATTGTTGAAAAGCCGGCATTTAAAAAAATGTTGCAGACATTTGATAGACAGTATGAACTCCCCAGGAAAACATATATATCACCAACGTGATATTTTGTATATACGTTTTTATTTTCACTGTGGTTTTATCTTGTGTTTATTTTTTATTCAAGTGTATTTTAAGTTAACAGAGACTGAGAGTCCATTTAATTTTTTTCTCGTTTTATTTTTTGCAGGAAAATGCATGCATTATTACGTCATTTCCATTAGATCAGTGTAAAAAGGTCTTCAAACAATATTATTGCTTATTGCAATAATTTTTGAGACAATTAGTCTTTTTGCAAAATTTGTTATCGTGACAGGCCTAATGGTTGGTGAAAGATGAATAATTGTCTTGTACCTTTAATAGTTACATTTGTTTTCTGTATATTTTAAAGGCATTGTTTAAATGAAAAAGTCACAGTTAGATGTTCTTTAAATGTCATTCTGTATCAGCCTCCTGAGCTGGATAACTAAATGTATTTTGTTTTTGGTCAAGTCCTTTTCAAAGTCACTCCAAGGGTTGCAAGTAACCCCCTTGGCCATCCTTTAGAAACTCCTGTACTGAGTGAATAATTGATACATTGAGGCTTCTGGAAACCCCACCTACCTTTATGTGTAAGCTAATTATACACTTCAAAGGACACAAGAAATCGTTATTAGAGCCAAAGGAGAAGGAATGAGCAATTGTTGTTGTATACACCCTATAATGTGATCTTTAAACTTAGATTGTATTAGCCTTGCTGCATAATTTGTTCTCCTTCTGAGGTCAGTGAAAACCCTTTCACCTTTAGACAACTGACACGAGGTCAGCAGTTTCAGACTCATTATTGCACAGCGACATGTAGAGTTTCTGTTTTCTGTGATGAGACAATGAAGGGTGAAGAGGTCTATGTGGGGAGTGAGCAGTGAGTATAAAGGCTGCTGTCTATAATTCCTTTCAAAAACAGAACAGTAATGTGTGGCTCCGTACTATGCTCTTCCTATCGTCAGCATTGACTGCTTCAAAACCCAACTTTTTCATCAATGTAGCTCAAGTCTATACAAAAACCTCCTCAAGTGGCAAAAACTTCCTCAGGAACTTTGGTGAAACTCATAAAAACCAAAAGCAAGTCTTCTGATAGAAAAGTTGAGCAGAGGCAAACAAGAAACATATTGAAACGTCTTCAAAAAAAACAACAAAAAACTGAGCAAAGGTTTGGCTGCCTTTGATTTAAGCCAGTTTTAACTTACATATAGTTGCTACCTGTAATGATATGTGGGTATGATGAATTATTGACCCAAGCCTCTCTACCAATTACCTGTGGAGATCAGATCCACCCTGCTACAATAAGTGGTTACTGACAATGGATGGATGAATTAGAGAGAAGAGTTGCCAAAAATTGTGTCCTTCATTTCTTCGTCCTCTTTTGCTAATTTGAGATGAGGGATCTTGAGTATTTATAGTCCTTACACCATGTTCTTGCTAGTAAAAAAACTTGAAATGAGGGGGTTTCCTCATTAGCCATAAGTCTCTTCAGGAGACAGCATGGCAGTGGCCTCATCATGGTGAGAGCATATGCGAAGGTGGATGAAGCTAAACGGAGAACAACTCTTCAAGAAAACGTAAAAATCGAGTGAGCGTGGAGCGAATATTTGCTCATTTGCTTAATGCAATACATTGTTTGGATTGAATTAACAGCATTTAGCATTCCCAGTTTAAGAGAGCAGAAGCTGAGACTAATAAACTCTTAATGCTACCTAGATATTTATATTCTATGACCAAAACTTCCAAAGCTACTGTACTACCTCCAGCAGGATAATGAGCCATGTCACAAAGCTAAAATCATCTAATGCTGCGTTCAGACCGCAAGCAGCAGAGGCAGCAGGAGCAGCTAGTTCACATGCAAAGTCAATACTCGACGAGCATCGAGGCGGAGCAAAAGGTCCTGCAGCGCGTTTTGAGCAGAAGGTCTGAGAAGAAACTGCGTCGGGAGCGTTTGAGTGTTTGAGCTGAAACTGCGTCGGGAGCGTTTGAGCATCTGATGCACTGCAAGCGCAGCTGTTGCTGGAGTTGGAAAAATTGAACTTTTGCTGCTCGACGCGCCACATCAACCAATCAGAGAAGCTGATCTGGGAGCTGGCAGGGAGAGAGAGACATCGCTGATGATATAAATCACTATGATCACTCCACTGAAACAGTTTAGTAACGCCTATATTAACTTAAAATGCTGAAATCTGCTGGCAAAACATGTTTGCTTTTATTATCCTGGTGCCTGCAGTTTGGATTTACATTAAAAACGCCTCCAAGCTGCCGCGGCAAACTGCAAAGGGACAGCCGGGCCAGAAGCTGCTGTTGAATGGGATTCCTAGTGACAGCGCACCGCCGGTATGTGGGGATCTGAGCGGCTCTGACAGCGAAATAATATTTGAAGGCAGGATGGTAATCTGGATGAACTGACTGCACTGACGATGGTGGACTTTCTAACTAAAAAACATATTAAAACTACTTTTTAACCCACTGATCACAGTATATACTGTATAGCTGCCATTGTTACAGACAAAAAAAGGAGAGGGTAGCTCCACCCAACGTGCATCAGACCCACTTTTTCATCGTACAGCTATAGCAGCAGAGATGCTTCAGCCGCATGTCAGAACTAAACTATACAAATATAAATGAAGCAGCACACATGTTTTTGCTGCTCTTGCTGCTTTAGGTGTGAACGTAGCATAAGAGGTTTGTAGGACATGATAATAATTTGGTAATATTCCATCATATATGCAGCTCTCAATCTAAAAAATGCATATTTGAGAAGTGATTGATTGAGAGTTTTGAATCCTGGCTGAGAAATCTACTGCCTCTAATTTACAGCATTATTTAACTATGGCCCAATATCTCTGAAGAATGTTTCTAATACCTCTGCTGAATCAATACCACACAGTGTTTAAGCAGTTTTGACAGTAAAAATGGGTCCAATCTGAGTGCTAAAAAGCCTTACCTGAAGCTTAATATGTTCCATTTCAACTTGTGTTTCTGTTATGTCTGCAAATACGCTGCCATTAACGATGTAGCTTCAGACGCTCATTAATCTCCATGTGGCTTAATGGGCTGAGGTGTCAGATGGTGCAGAGTTAGGGACCAGATGAAAATGGATGCTGGCAGCTTTAATACCAACATTGTGAAGATGTCAAATCCAATTCTACGGTCACAGCACTTCCTGGATTTGAAGTTTCTCTCTGAATTCTTTGAAGCAATATTTTTGACTATCTTGTCAGCTGTCCAGCCTCCAGTCTAAGAGGTGCTGAGAGGCTTCTGCCTTAGTTTATGTCATAGATAAAGTAGTGCACTGCTAGTGTGCCTTTTTCCGGACATCTAAATTACATTTTTTCTTATCTTGAATCAGCATTTACTCGTTTTCAGCACAGGCAGACCTGTTTTTAGATTTAACAATCACAAATCACCTAGCGTTATTTCCATGACTTACGAAATCATAGTTCAATCTGCAGCATCTCACCTGTCTGACTGCAAGCAGGAGTTTGCCGTAGGAGTAGACGATGACAGCGAATGGTAGGACAAGGCAGAAGGTGAAAAGGCTGATTATGTAGGAGATGTTGTTTGGAGTCTGGGTCTTCCAATCAACAGAGCACGTGGTGCCAGGGCCCTCGGGGCCGTATCTGCTCCAGCCTAGTAACGGAGGCACAGTCCAGGCTATGGAGTAGAGCCAGGAGAAGCAGATCCCTCCCAGCGCTGGACGGAAGTCTCTGCCATCGGCCATGTTGGGCACCATCATGGTGGAGTAACGCTCGTAGGACAGAACAGCCAGCGAGATCAGGGAGACAATGCCTGAGGGACGTGGACAAGAAGCACATGGATTAACCACTGATTGGCTCAAATTTCCAGTGTCCAAGTGAATTTTCTGCAGCGTTTAACCTTAGAACATAAAATCAGGATTAAAAAAGAAAAGGGAAGGATGGACAGATGAGAAATGGTTATAATTGTTTTTCTATTGCCTTTCATATTTTCCAAATGCACAAAACACTTGTAGCTGAAATCCAAACTTTTTGAGGGCTGTATGGAAATCCGGTACAAATAACCAATTAAAATATATAAGGAAATATATATATATGAAATGACTGATTGATTTTCTTGTGACTGCAGAGAGTTTCCAAGAGACTCATTTAAAATTATTCAGACATAAAATTTAGTTCATTTCCCTCTCACTTTGATCATCTTAGGGCCTTTTAGTTTTACATCTTTGATGCACAATCCAGCAATCGGTCCACAGACGTTCACTCCAACAAGATGTCACAGCTACTGTGAGCAGGACTCTTTACAAAAAGAATATCTAGATAAGCACAATCTTTTTTATTTCTTCTAAGCAGATCTGATGGAATTCATTAATTAACTTCTATTTCTTTACACTAATAATTCAGTTCATTTATATAGCACCAATTCACAACACATGTCATCTGAAGGCACTTTACAGAGACAAATAAACATTTAAGGTTAAGAACTGACATACTCAACTGCAAATTATAGTACAATGAAACATTCTTGGACATTTATTATCCTTAAATGTCAGATTTAGAAAAATCTATGAAATTACAAAACTTATAGTAGATTTTAGTTCATTATACAGGCAGAACTAAATGTGTAAGAAACCCAAAGAGGCTTCAGGTCTTGTTAGATATTTACTAAATGACTTAGAAAACAACAATAGCAACGTTTGTTCAGTGTGATCATTCAGGCAAAAAAAAAAAGGGAATTAATAAATAAAAACAAAACTTTCACAAATATGATGAGCCCTTCAACTCTACTGCGACAATCACCACCATCTGTGCTCCATAAAAAATAAAGGTATGGTGGTTAACAAAGCAGAAGAAGGTCATAATGAGTGTTTTAGTTCAATAAGACATTTATTATATTTTCTAAAGTCAATTTAAAACATTCTTACTAGCAGTAAGAGTCCAATTAAGGCAATTATTTTAGAAAAATCACCTGTTTGGCTAAAGATTTTTTTCCCTTTGCCTTGTTTTACAAAATTAATACAATTCACCACATGAGGTCAGATAAACCAGAATGACCCATTCACACATAACTAATTACCAGCATTTAAACACATGAAGACACATTTGCAGTTCATTTTGATAGATAATTGTTAACTAATGAACATATTCAGTGGTGCACTTAATTTTTGGTGAAGTACCATAAATCATCAATCAGAGTTAATCAACACATACAGACTGAAATGCTGATCTAGAGGCACTTTACCTCGACTCTGCAGCCTTTTCAAACACCAAGGACTTTAACTGCAGATATTCACATCATTTCTGTTACAAATGGAGGCTGATGCTTGTAATGAGTCAGAAAGCAAAATCTAAAGAAGAAAAATATAAGAGTAGGTAATTCCAAAATTTTTCCTCCATTATACGTACTGCTTTGTTGTTTTATGACAAAATAACCCAACAAACCAAAGCAGTTAAACTGTGACTAAAGCTTCTGCTTTCTGTTGGTCATATAGCTGCTTCCTTCCTGTTAAATCTTTTTTAAACACTTTGAACAACATGCTTTTACTTTTAGTAATCAGATACAGCAATTTATCACTTTTTAAAAATATTTTTTAACTGATATTGCAAAGTTTGACTGAAATTAACCGTTAAAAGTGTTGAAAGTTAATGGTCTCAAACAATATAATCAGTTACACCCATGCACAGCCGCTTTAGTATAATGTCAGCATAACTCTTTTGCATGTTAGAGTAACTAATTTTGATTTCAAAATCAAATGTTATAAACTAACTAACTTTAAACAGATTAACAGAAGTAAGTGAGGTAACAGAAGATTTAATTTCATTTAGTTACTTGTTTATATGAATTTATATCAATAAGAATTGGTTCCGCCTGATATGTAAACAGGCCTTAATACTAAAAAACGAAATATTTTTCATCCACCACTGAGATGACCTTTTAAGGCAAAAATAAACTGTCTTGAGAGATCAACAAGAACATTATCCCTGTCTTTTTTAAGCTCTATTTTTTGCAGGGACCTTTAGTAAACACCAACCATAATATCACACATTTCAGATTATCAAGCTTAACACAGATCTTAGTTGAATATTTTGTTTTGCTTTTTATAAGAGCAGTTTAAAAGCAGCAGTTTCTAAATAGGCTGGATTTAAGAAGTGTCATTGGCTCAGACAATAAAGAGGTGGGGGGGTGGGGTTGGGCTAACACGAATCAAAAAAATTATTTATATCTTCTGAAGATAAAAAAAAAAAAACTCTGCTAAATGCAACCAGCAGATTATCCTGACAGTAACGCCCATTTACATGGAGGTTGTTACAAATAGAGAGCCAGTGTGTCAAAGTTGGCTAATTTTTGTTTCCATTTCAGTGATATTAAAGGGGAAAACTGTACTTCATAACTTGTTGAGATATGTTAGTCATTCATCAGGCTTTAAGGTAGCGATAGAGGGAGAGACCTCAGCAGATGACATGAAGGCTAACAGACATAAATGAAATTTCTATCTTTTATTCTGTTGAGTTTTCAGCATCTCTCTGCAACAGATTGTGCTATAGTTGGAAAAGGTGATGCTGTTAAAATTAGGTCATTTTCTACATTAAAAGTTCACAGTGCTTCGATTTTAGCAAAGCTGGCAGCAACCAACTTCCAAATGTCAAACTCCAAAAAAAAGAAAAAGTAGGAAAAAAAAGATGAAATCCTGTTTAAAAGGAAAAGTCTGGTCAGCAAGGAATAATCATGGATCATTAACTATACCAAAAACTAATACGTTTGTCGTGATTTAATGAATTTAGCATTAATCAGTAAAAAAATTAAAATAATAATTTTCGACGCTATTACTGAGTACCAGACTGGCCATTTTTGCCCAAATATAGTAACACCTCACTCCTGACATCTTCCGGCAGTGACATCATGGAGCCCTAAGCCTAGGGCCATTCTCCCCGCTTTAAAAGCAAAATCAATGGGAACTACTAGACACATCTGCAATCAACAACAATTATTGAAGATTTCTAGAGAACTTCACCATTGATACTCACGAGAGCTATAGTTATACTGACAATGCCCACGTGCATGGCAGTTGGATGTTGTAATACATCAGGTAAAAGTGAAAAAAAATATTGTTATTTCACCTTTCCAAGTCATGATCCTCCACTGACAGGTTGGATTGCCAACTTAAAGAGGGAGGATTTGCCTTCAAACTTCTGGCCAGAGAAAAAACACGTCATATGTAGCCAACATTTCGATGAAGAATGTTTTTAAGATGACTTGGATAAACACCAGATACAGCACTGGGACTTAATCAACAGCCAATACCGCACCGTGATGTCACAAACCGGTAGACGGCAGTGGTGTTCTTTGACAAACATGGACATCTCCTGTAAAGCACAAACAAATGACATTCCTTTTTTTCTTTTTACTTAGTATGTAATAATTTTATATTTAAAGTACTTTCAAAAGTTTGAATTCTGAATATTGACAGACTTTTCCTTTATAGCTACTACTCTCTGTAAACATGTGGCATGATGTGGCCCCTTCTAATAAGTAATCAATGACTGTCTTTGAAGGGACAGATTTATGGGGCTTTTGGCCCCTGGTTACAGACCAACTTTTGTTCCCTTTCTACTCGAAGTTTATTTTATTGATGCAAAGTAGAACAACTTGATAGTTGTGATTAAAACAAATACAAACTAAAAAGACTAAATTAATCAAAGGAAATTAAGCGCTTTAGTAACTTTTATTACACTGGTTTCTTCAGTGAGTTGTAGGTGATGTTGATGGCTGTAGGCAGGAAATGACTGAAGACACTTGACTAATGAAGGGTACGCTCAGAGTTAGCTGTTCTTTGTTTTATAAATAGTACTAAAGCAGTCCCTAAAACAGCTTGTTGAGCTTTTTTTTAAGTCGTTGCCTCTGGTGCTGCTGGCTTAACAGATGATGGAGGAGCAGATCACACCACAGACTTATAGAGGAAATGGAGCATCTTCCTAACAAACACTAAAGGACAGAAGCTCCTTAATGTACAGTCTGTTGTTTTCCTGATTATAGACGAGACCAGTAGAACTATTCAATCATATGAACTACATCCACTTCTTCTCAGTTGATATAAATAGTCCAGAGACCGTCCCTGTTTCTCTTTAATCATCTTTATTTTTCCCTGAACATGGTGTCAGGACTAGATGGACTGTAGGAAAAGTCACAACTTTGTTTTTCATAGCGACAGGGAATCAGAGCATTTCACATTGAAAGACATTTCTTGACAAGGTTAAGATAGGATAACAGGTGAAAAGCCCAGATAGCTATGCCAGATATTCTCTGCAATAATGTTACATTTGAGAAAGTTTTTATTCCCTTACATTTGGAGAAAAACTAACAGCCTGGTAGTAAAAGAATAATGCACTGGCCTTTAAACATGGTAATGGCAGTTTGATGGTCTGGAGGTGCTTTGCAGCTTTTAAGGTTAGGATTAATCAACAGAATTGATGGGTTCATACATTTTCCTATGATATAAAATCCTGAAGGAGAACACCAGCCATCTTTAAACCAAATAGCTTGATAAAAACAGTAGTTAAAAGGTTTTCCAGTTTCTAGTCAAAGTTCAGATATAAATCTTAACAGAATAATGAGACCTTAAAAAGGTCGTGAGCACTTAGAAACTCCCCATGTGACAAAATTAAAGATGATTTTGCAAGGAAAAACAAGCTGAAACTCCTCCACATTTATCTATATTTTAAAAACCAATAACAAGTTTTCACACATACTGTGTTTTTTTGAAGAGTCGCCCGGTTTACAAGATTTAACAAGAAAGGACATTACTTGTTCACAGA